AATTTTAAAAATGTAAATATCAAACTTTTAGTGTTAGATGTGTAAATACATAAGACTTATGTGATATGTACTTATATTCCCCACAACTATAACTCCGCAAATGAAAATAAAATCTTACTACGCACCCAAATCAAAACTTCGTGAGGCTAACAGAGCTCAAGAGTAGTTTTTCTCTTTTTGTGGGGGATTGCTCGAACGAATAATTTGGCTTCAAAATTAAATCTTAACGCATCTTACTGATTTATTTTAGCTTATATATAATTTATTGTGTGTTGTTAATCACAGGAAATTTAACACATCATAATGTTAAATCCATTTAAGACGTAGGGTTTCGTATTATTCGTGGATTATGTACAAATCTTACTAATAGTGAGCAAAAGAGGGAGAAAGAGAGAGGAGGAAGAGCCTATGGAAAAAGAGGATCTTACCTCCGACCCTCTTTGTTTTTATATTCAACCCCTATGAAAGTTAGCCATGGGCTGTCCTTTCATGATATGCAAAATTATATAAATATGCAAAATATTAAATTATATCCAACAATTTTATGTCCCATCCCGCCATATAATTGAACTTGACAGTTTGTCAATTCGGCAATTTATCAGTTCAGCGATTACACAATTCAACAACTGCACAATTCTATAGTTGAGCAATTAAACAGCTGGGTAATTAAACAACTGAACAATTCAACAAATTGACAACCAGACAATTCAACAATTCAATAGTTGGGCAACTCAAAATGTCTAAAGGTCTATGCATTAATTGTTCGATAACATAATTTATTTAATTTGAATGTATGCATCATACATAATATTTCTTTTTCTCAACCAAGAGCTATAACATGTGTTTCGTTATTTTCTCTCTCCAATCTTCGTGCTCAATAAACCTTGAATAAAAATCACAAAATTAAAAAAATATATAGAGAATTTGTGTCAATATCTAATTTAAAAATTATAATAAAAAGAAATTTTATGTGCATTTACATAAATACTAACATAATTCTTATTTATTTATATATCTAACACCAAAAATTTAATATTTACCATCAACAATTTCACCATCACCTACTTTAGAAAAGTAGGTCTCTTATGCATGGGTGTATTGTATCACAAAAATGTTATAAATATAAACATGAAAGTTTAGATGTTAGACATATAAATATAAAAGAATTACCTGATATATATGTAATTTTCCTTATGTTAAATAAATTGTATTAAATTCACCACATATGGTATTCACATTATCATATTGTATCCATCCCTCCATTGCTATGACATCTAATAACTCTCAAAACTACAACCACATGGTAAGTAACATCCTTTCCCCTATGTTGCAAGAAAAATCAAAATCAAACACTAATCATGCTTCAACTAAGCATAGAGACCTAAAAATGCCCAAAGGATCACCATTGGAAGAAGAAGTGAGCTTCGAGGCCTCGAGCTTCCGTTCGGCAGCCATGGATAGGAGTCTGGAGATGGCATGACACAGTTGTCACCATTGAAGTAAATTCGACGAGGAAACGCCCATCCTTTTTCGAAAGTAAACGTCGATGCGTCCTTGCGAAGGAGTACTTCGGATTGAACGTTCCCGGAAGGACCAGCTGTCATCAATAGGTCGTTGTAATACTTTATACCCCAAAACATACCGGTGTCATCTAAGAAAAAAATTTAGACAAAATAATTTGTTAGTGGAAATATACAAATTTTCAAACCCATTTTCAATAAAAAAATGCAATTTTGTCAACCAAGATTAAGGGTTGTTTGGGGTAGCTGCAGCTTATTAAAAAAATAACTGTGAAACTATTGAAAAATAATCTGATATTCAAAAAAATTGTGCTGACAATTACATTTTTTTTTCTTTAATAAGTCCGACAGCAATTAAAAAACTGTCACCCCACCTAGTCAAGATCGGTGGGAAAAAATAGATTTCAACGGCGGCAATTTTTTGAAAAAACTGTCAAAACACAGTTTACCCAAACATACAATAAATATCGGTGTTAGATATGCAAAAATACATAGGAATGGAGTGGCAAGCATGTAAACCTTCCAAATAAAAATTTGGGGACATTCACATAAATACCGCCCAATTCTTAGTATTTTTATATCTAACATTTAATCTTTGATTTTTTACATTTATACCACAAAAATTTTTCATATCACATAAAAAATATCACTATTTTAACTTTTACGAAAAGTGAAATACACATTTTCATGCATAGATATGGTGGCATGTATGCAAAAATAAAAGTTTCAGTGTTAAAGATGTAAATACATAGGAATTGAGTGGAATATATGCAAATCTTCCAAATAAAAAATAAAGAGATCTATTAGATAACTTACTTATGGCTTCATAAGGAGTGAGGGACTTGTAATTGAAGCTAAATATTTCTGTGAGATTATTAAAATTAGGATGCTGAGCAACAAAGTTCCACTGCGTGTAATTCATCCTGTAGTTGAAGTTTGTAATTGTGATCTTTACACGCCAGTACTCCACATAGTTCAGCTTAACATGCCAATGAATTCTTATGGGACACATATGGGAAGTACACTGAACCAAAGGTGCAAAGCTGCTCTTGTCTGGGCCATTTACCACAGAAGCAAGATAAGGTGAATCTCCCCTGACAAAAAAAAAGGATTTTGCAGTTATTTTATTCGCTGCCAATATAGTAACTATTATGTTGTGGAGCCTAATATTAGCTCCACAAAAGAAAATATATTATGCAAACTTAGGCGGTGTTCGGCTGCAACTTGAATTAACTAGAAATAGGATTTATCGAATTCGATAAATCCTTCCAGGAAGATTCCACGGAAATGAAGCTCATCAACGGCAAAACAAATCCTTTAAGTTCAACTCATATTCAGATTTATTAAATCCAAATTTACATGGCAATGGAGGTGGAATACGGGAAGAAAGTGATGAAACACGAAAATACTAGATTTAATGGGGCTTCGGATTTAAATTTTATTTTTTTTATGTTTATGCTACCAGGCACCGCCTTAGTTGAGACATCCAATCTTTGCAGGCTATAGTTTCAGTGGCTAATTTTTGCTTAAAAAGAGAGGGCGTACTATTTTTATAGAGTATTGCAATTACGGTTATGAGAACCCTGCAATAAAACAATAGTTAAATCTGATGGTGAATTTGTATAAATTTTTATAGTATGTTTTGTGAAGTAATTTTCTTTCTGTTTTGCTCTTGGTGATTTAACAAGGTTTGGTGCTATTTCCCAACAGCTGTGCCATACAATATTAAGGTTTCCCTCAGATCAACATCTCATCTTCATTGTTGCGCGTTGCTTGAATGAAAAAAGGACTATTTTTTCAAGCTTTATCCTAAAACTTGATATAAAGATGCCGAAATAGTTCACTCATGTTTAACATGAGTTGAAATAATCCTCAGAGAGAATTCTTTTAGCCCGGATTAAGAAAATCTGTGTACGAAATTGACATGTTTAGACTCCAAGACTAAAATCGGTGCCTGTGATGAATCAAGGGACTATTTTGACACTATTCTACATTAAAAAAATATCAAAAACGCAGATTTTATAGCATTGTGATAGAAAATAAATGAAAACGTAAGCCATTTAGAAAGCTGAGGACATTAAAGCAGTTTCTTACTCCACACAGCTCCCGGGATGAGTGACATTGTTTTGGCAGCCACAAGAACATGTTGGACAGTTAACGATAGTATCGTTGTAGAAAGAAGAAAGAGAGACACAACATGAAGGAGTCTTCTGGGAAAGAAATTGAGAATAGGTGCATGTCACATTCCATGTCACTGCAATAACAGTAAAGAAATGCAATTATTTGTTTAAACAGCTATGATAGATCTATGATTTATGAAATTACAATTTTTCACAGGAGGTAAATGTCCAAAAGAACATAAAAATGATTTTTTGGTTATCATTAGTTAGAGAAAGCTAACCGCAAAAGATTTTAGGCAATAATTGGAGCAATCTTTATTATATTTTAGCCGCTCCCAAGCAGTTGGATAGTTTAATGATGATGATGATGTAAATACATAGTGAAATACATCAAAAATACCACAATTATAACTAAAGTAAAAAACCACCCAAATCCTATGTATTTACACATCTGACATAACTTTGCTTTTTTACATTCCTCACACCCAAACCACTATTAGAACTTTTAAAAAGTGAAATACGTCTTTTCATGCATATATGTAAGGTGACAAATATATGTAAAAATTGAATTTTAGGTGTTAGATATGTAAATACATAGGAATTGAGTGGCATGCATGTAAAGCTTCAAAAAATTTTATGCAACACCATATAAGCAGTTAGAAAATTGCAGGAATCATCAAGAGCTTGTTTTCAAGGATTTACAAACATAAAGGCTCTCAATTTACTCTAATTAACATAATAAGAAACAATTAACATATAGGTGGAATAAAAAAATAAGTTAACTTAGTGCATATTGCATAAGCCATAAGCTATGATATCTATCATATTTTAAGAACAATTTAAGTGCATCCAAACATTAAGATTTTACAACCCTTTTAGTGAATTCAGAGTAGTTTTTCGAAAAAAATTTATGCACTACCATATAACCAGTTTGAATATTGCAGAAATCATCAAAAACTTGCTTTCAAGGATTTATATACATAAAGGCTCTCAGTTTACTGTAATTAACAAAATAAGAAACGATTATTGTATAGGCGGAATCAAAAATATATTAACTTACTTAGTGCTTGTGTTGTTCTCCTTCCATCGGAGGTAACAAACTTGCTCTGCTTCACAATCTTCGCAGCTCCGCAAGTATACCCGGGACCGGGAGCTTTGAGCGTAAAATTCTTAGGCACACGAACCGTCTTGTTTGTTGTACCTGCATAACCGACGCTGAGCTGAAATGCGCTGATAGCATTAGGTGGATCTTGAACCCATGAACTAATCACTCCACCCTTGCAACAATTAGCTATTTGCATATTATATGGAGTTCCGGGCAGAAGATCAACAACAGATGGATCTTTTTTGCAGCAATGAGGAATATTTCCCTTAAATTTCGAGCAATCTCCCTGCTCGGTAGTTTGTGCGCCAACCATAGACCATATAACCTCCTTCTTCGACCACGTCCATCCTAATATCCATCCTGGCGACTGAATGTGGCGATATTGCTGGTAGTTGTTGATGGTAACAACGGCCTGAGAATTTACGTAATTTGATTCAATGTTTTTTTTAGGGGGACATTTACATACACACCACACAATTACTGTGCATTTACATAACGAACATTTAAATTTTGTTTTTTACATTCATAACTTTTATTAAAAAGTGCAAGTCCTTTAGATATCTCCGATCTATTGTTCATTGAGATGGTAATATAAATGGGGATGGTACTAGTAGAATTCAAATTGGTTAGTTGAAGTGGAAGAATGCTTCGGGCTATTGTGTCATAGAAAAGTACCGCTTAGGTTGAAAGGAAAATTTTATAAGACAATGTTGAGACCTGCAATGCTCTATGGAGCAGAATGTTGGGCTTTTAAAAGAGAAGCATAAAACATGAGAATGCTCAGGTGGACGAGTGGCTTTACACTTAGATACAAAATGAGAAATGAATATATTTGTGATAGGGTTGGT